TCTCTCTCTTCTCTCTCTCTCTCTCTCTCTCTCTCTCTCTCTCCTCTCTCTCTCTCTCTCTCTCTCTCTCTCTTCTCCGCCCCTTTATTTTCTTTCACCTCCATCGCTGCTGCTTCTTCCAGTCTGCCTACTCTTCTCTTCTCTTCTTTCTTCATGTGTTTTCAATCTTTTCTCTATCATTCACCTTTCATTCTCCTCTTTCTCCTTTCTACTTCCCTACTATCTCTCTTATCGCTTGCTCTCCATCCTCCTCCCAGCTGCTCTTCTCTTGTTCATATTTGCTTCCTCGCGTCCTATCACTCCTTGCTCTCTGTCTGTCTTCTGTCTCTCTCTCTCTCTCTCTCTCTCTCTCTCTCTCTCTCTCTCTCCTCTCTCTCTCTCTCTCTCTCTCTCTCTCTCTCTCTCCTCTCTCTCTCTCCTCCCTCCCTCCCTCTCTCCCTCTCTCCCTCTCTCCCTCTCTCCCTCTCTCCCTCTTCTCTCTCTCTCTTTTGTTCCTTTTTCCACTTTCCCTTCCTCTCCCTACCTCCGTTTCCCTATTTCTAACATTAATCTGTCCAGTTATCTGCTGTCTTCTGTTTCTATCATCATTCTGAGGATGGTTTTCCTCGGGTCTCTTTCGCCGCCTCTCTTCTCGCCCTCCCCCCGTTCTTTCCTCCTGTTCTCCCCTCTGCAGTTCTCTCTTTGAACTCATCCTCACATCTTTTCGTACTCGTCTCGCTTCCTTCCGTCAATTTTTCTCTCGCTATCTCCCTCGTCTAATTTCCCTTTCATTTTCTTTGTCCTCTTCTCCATCTCCTTTTATACATCCTTTCCTGCCCTTGCCCGTGCATATTATTCCCTCCCTCCTCCCCAATGCCTCTCTTATCTCTCTCTATCGGCCTTGCTCGCACCATGCATTTTTCTTATGCAGTTTCTCTCTTTCTTGTCACGACATTCCCTAGCTCTCTCGTGTGACCCACCCTTCTCTCTCCTCCTCTCAGCTTCTCTCTTTGAACTCTCGCCTCTCATCTCTTCGTACCCCGTCTGTCTCTCCTTCCGGTGGCGGTGTTGTTGGTAGTGGCAGTGTTGGGTGTGGTAGTGGCCGCGGAGTGGTGGTTGCATTGGTTAGTCTGGTTCGTGTGATGGTCGATCAAGTGATTTTTGGTGCTGTGCGATGCGCGCGTGATGGCGGGGCTTTGAGGTCGCTTGTGATGGTGAGGGAGAGGCCGTTGGTGATGGTCGGGCTCGGTGGCGGCTTCGTTGGTATTTCGCCGGAGATTGTGATTTTATTGGTGGCGCAGCGGGTAATGAGGGAGGTGGCACAGCAGATCTCTGAGATTGACATATTCAAGTATGCAAATTGCATCCTCTCGTCCAGACCTTGACCTTAACCATGGCGACACTTTTCTTCGTTCTCTCTTCTTCTCGTTCCGTCTACAACTAATTGATTCCACCAACTTATTATTTTCATGTTGTCTGCAATATTGATGAGGTCTGTTCCCCGCGGAGGCGTTGTAGCCAGGGAAGGCTGTTGGCGTAGGATTTCGGAGGGAGCGACCGGGCGACTCGCCACCGGCCCTGTCTAGCGGACGGGGCTGGACTAACAGAAACTTGAACCATGACGCTTTTTCGAGATGAGTTTACATCCTTCCGTGTTTGTGCAGCGCGCCTGCAAACATCTTGTTCGACGTCATCAAATATGCATTCGTACCAGTGTGTTGATTAACGCTTAATCCAACTAAGGAAAATTTGTCTAGCATTGAGTTTACTTGGGCTGTTGGCTCGGCCGTGCACTGCCGACGGAGATCGCCCGTCGAGCCGCAGCCGACGTACGTGCGGACGGGCGCGCAATCGGTGCTTTCGGCGAGGCAAATATGCCGGCCGAGGTCTGTTTGTGCTTGGCGAATATTGATGATTTATGCGTTTGTCTCAGTCGTAGCTTATTGGCATTTGTTCCTGCACTCTTCCCCTCGGCCAAGTCCTTCTTTCGTTTGCTGTATCCTTTTCAGTCTTGATTTCTTTCTTTTCTTTCGCCTCCGTTGCTGACGGCACCTTTTGTCAGGACAGCAGAAATGATTCATTCAGCTTTGGAGCGGGCGATATCAGCAACACTTACACATCTAATCGGTTATTAGCCAAGTACTCTGTACAGCGGCGTAGCGACGAGGGCATTCAGACTCAACAAACCACGCCTCAGACATAACACGCCGCAAGTTAGACAAAATACGCCTTAAACGAGGCACACCGACCATACACCGGGACCAGATCTTGCATGCCTGCGCCATACACCCGGCCCCGCGACAGACACCTCACAGACGCCCAATGTCAAATGCCGCGATGGGCGGGGATATTTGCAGCATTGATTTTGTTCTTGTGAAGGAATTGTATTTTCTAACACTGACGTTTCTTTCTTTTTCTTTTCCAGGTAAGACACGAAGTTATCACCCTGAACGAGGAGGAGGAGGAGGAGGAGGAGGAGAGGAGGAGGAGAGGAGGGAGGAGGAGGAGGAGGAGGAGGAGGAGGAGGAGGAGGAGGAGGAGGAAAAGGAAAAGGAAAAGGAAAAGGAGGAGAAGAAGAAGACAATGAAGAAAAAGGAGAAGGAAAGGGAGGGGGGAGCGGAAGAAGAACGCCAGCAACAAAATGCCAGAATGGTAAGTTAATCGTGTCTGTTCACTTGAATTTTGACAGATATTGTTTATCATAAATACACATTTACACAAGCAACAAACACGGTGCTACGCTCTAGATGACCGTCATACTGATGATAGTGATAATGATATGAGTAGCCTTCCTTGATAATATTGAAAATAAAATTGAAAGTTCATAATAAAGATGATAATGATAATGCTAACATCAAAGGTGTCGTCAAAGTTGTCAGTGTTATCATATTAATGTCAGCATTGCCATTCGTTCGAAACTATAAGGATTATTAGAAGTTGTCCTGTACTGTGGAAACCATCGCGCTGAAAGGATCCATGGGGTTGTGTTTTCCCTGTCCGGCGACCTTTGTGACTGGAATCGTGTTGAGATATTCATCGTTTTGTGAATTTTCTACCGACCGCATTACACGCCGGCTGCGGCGCGATCAGCCTTTTTCTGTAATTGACGGCGGGGCTCGTCTGGCACTCGTCGAAGGCCTCGTTACCTTCCTCTTCATCTCTCTTTCTTTTTCTATCTATCTCAGTCTCTTTCTTTCTATCCCCCCCCCTCCCTGTTTAGATAGACGCAGTAGGTAGTCGGTAATGAGGATGACAAACACGCAGCAAGCAGGCAGGGCGGGTAATGGATGTTGCGAGGTAGATCCTGTCCAAATATACTCCAGGATCCAGACCAAACTCTGGGCTAATGACAGGCCTGACGGTGCGGTCCGGGTAGGGATAACTGCAGGGAGGGGGGGGGGGGGGCTGTTGTGGATAACATCTGAAAGGGGGGGGGGTGGAGGTGGAGGAGGAAGGGGAGAGAGAAGTGGTAGTGTCTGTGGTGTTGGAGGAGAAAGGCGTGGAGGAGGCGGTTGTGATGGTGTTGGAACAGCTAGTGGAGGAGCTAAAGGAAGATGGAGCGGAGAGGAAGGAGAAACTTGCAGATAAGAATAATAATCACAGTGACGAGATGCCGTTAACGAAATCCAAGATGTAGAAGCAGCAGCAGGATGAGAGGAACGAACAAGAAAAATAAAGGTGGCCCGAAGAGCGTGAGAGACAAGGGCGCAGTCTGAGGAGCAATGAAACAAAAGAAGCATTAGGTCCGCCGGCCAGAGAGTCTCCTCGGCGAATGCGAACAAGGGACGGACAGCGGGAAGTGATTTCGCGACGACCGCTCTAATTGGGGCGCCCGTGTCGCTGCCGCGTATGTGCGGGTTTTTAAAAGTCAATGAATGAGGACACGGTAAATGTATAGATGTGCTGTTTGTATATGCATGTGTGAATGTGAATTTTTATAGATGTGTGTGTTTAAGTTTATGTCAGTATAGATTGATGTATAGTGATTGATGTATACTCGCCCGGCTCTACATTTTTGAACGCAGGGTGTGTATATCTGCGACCATCACGGAGGAAGGAGGGAATCAGGGATGAGACCTGTGCCTGAGGAGGCAGGACCAGGCGCGCGAGGCCATCTCAGGGCCGCCCCAGAGGCGATCGGTTGTGGGCGGGTGAGGGAGGCAGACGGCACCGAGTCCGCTGGCATCCGAATGCCCAGACGGAGGCTGTGAAATTACGTTAGTCAGGGCTTTCTGTACTCTCGCATCTCCGCCTCCCGCGGGAGGAATGAGGCGCGGGGTCACCGGGTCCAGGGCGCGGGCGGCCTCGCGCGTCTCTCCTTATTCCTCGCCGCTGAATTAAGGATGCGACATTTGCGTTCTTTAGATGGCCGGTGACGTCCTGGGGGGAGCGAGATGAATTAATAACGGGGTGGCATACGGGTCTTCAAGAAGAGAGAGAGAGAGGAGAGAGTGAGGGAATGAGAGACAACGAGACAGACAGTGGGAGAGAGGAGGGGGGGGGGAGAGAAAGACAGAAAGAAAGCGAAAGAGAAAATGGGAATACCTACCTAACCGACGGACACAGCACAGACTATCAAGCATTATTTTATGTATTCCGGAATATAGCCTAATCGCAAGAAGTACATGCTTTACAAAAAGCTGCCCTTTATCGCGCGACAAACGAAACATCCCAACAAACGCACGTACGTCAATCCAAGCCCACGAGAAACAATTATCCAGCCGGCGGGATTTCAGGACTTGGACAAACAACCACACAAAGGCCGAAAAAATCCCGACAACGAAAGATAACAAGGCCCGACAGCTGGACAGTGACGGATAAAGAAAATAGGAAGAAGGAGGAAGGATGTCCAAGAATCAGAGTTTTATTATTATTTCTATGGTATTTAAAAAAAAGAAAGATAAAAAAGACGGGTTGTTATTGGCTCGCGTCCAAAGAAAGTATTTTTGCTGGTAGTTTGAGTCCGTGTCAAGTTCTTGTGTCTTTGGTGAATGGAATTATCCTCCGTCATTCAGAATTATTCTTCAAAAGAGGATTCCGGAGGTGGGCCATGTACAGGCGGCCACAAAATCATGATTCTTGGAACTGGCTGATATATAGCATCGCGTCGGGAAGGGAGGAAGGAACATGCGACCGAAAAAACAGTAATTTGTCTTGGGTGTGTCTTTTGGTCACCCCGGTTCGGATGGATTTAGTCTTCAGGTATTTCTTTGCATTTTCTCGCCGTTGTCAATCCCAGGGCTGAGGTCGCGATGGCCGGCACCACAGTCGCCCCATAATCATAATGCCCCATTAGCCATTAATCATCAGCAGCCAAAGCCACCATCTCCATCCGTCACCATTAACACCAGCACAGCCGTCGGTATTGATCACCGACATTACAAGCCACATTCACCATACCCCTCCGCCGCTACGTTTGCTCTGCCGCCAGCAAGCAGCGCAGCCTCAGAAACAACAGCAACAGTCATCGTCATCAATCAGCAGCGCCATGAGCATCAGCTGAGCGGCCGACAGGAAAGTCGTGGCGACCGCCTTCAAGGTTCTGGTAATTACGCTCCGCCCATTAGCAGATTGTTGAGGCCGCGAGCTGAACTTTGTTAATTATAATTATGCGGAGCTCCCCGGCCCACGTGGGAGAGTTGGGCCTGAAATCTCTTTGTTTACTGTTTATCGACGGGAAGGTTGGGGCGGTGGTGGTGGTGGGGGGGGGGGGGTCCTGCGCTGGCTGCAGACTCTGGCTCAGGGAAACGGGCCGAGGCTGGCCGAGAGGGGACCGAAGGGGAAGTGACGCACGGGGGGGGGGGAGACATACACGCGGGTAGAAAACATAGTCTGTAATATTTTTATTTAAAGGTATTTAGAAATATACCACACACACACACGCACACGCACATATACGTGTGTGGTATGTTCGTATGTGAAGGCAGGTCAGGAACAAACGATTATGCCGTGGTGTCATGTGACTGCACATGAGGCACTTCGCCCGCAGTCCTTGGTGGCAGAGGCAGCGTCGGGGCCTTGCTTGTCCAGAAGAGCTACCTGCTGAGGTCGTCAATGAGTGGAATAAGTGGATGGAATTGATGTTTCCTTTCTTTCTTTCTTATTTTTCTCCTTTTCTCTGTCTCAATAACTGTGTTAAAGTAAAAAAATCTCTCTCCCTCCCTTCCTCTCCCTTTCCCTCCCATCCTCCTTTTCCCCTCACTCTCCCTCCTTCAGCTCCTCTTTCTCCATCACCTCCCTCCCTTCCCCGCCGCTTCTCCGCGTTCTCTCTCTTTATCCTCTTTTTTCCCTCTTCTTCCTTCCTCTACCTACTCACTCACTCACTCACTCACTCCTCCCTCCCTCCCTCCCTCCCTCCCTCCCTCCCTCCCTCCCTCCCTCGTGCCCTCCGAGCGGCCTCTTTTGAAAGCCCCAGATTCTGAATGCGAGGCGCACCTGGTCCTCGAGACAGCGACGGAGGGCGTGCGCGCGTGTGCAGCAGGAGCCATCAATACACAATTCGAGGTGTCACTTTGTAGCGTGCCGGAAACAATCTTACGGCGGGAGTTGTGCCAGAAGGAACTTCTTCAGAAGAGAGAGGTCAAGGAGAAGTAGGGTGGGGGAGGGGCTGTGGGCTCTCATTTAATGCTCATTGCTTAGAAAATGGAACGTTGCTGATCACTGCAAGGGCCGGGGCTGACCTTCCCGGGGTGGCTGGCGAGAGTTCCGAGGGGCACTTGGGCCCAGGCGTCGCGTGTCACGGCGCACGCTGATGTACTTTTTCAGTTCAGTCAGTTTTCTTTCACAGATTTTAATTTTATATTATCGTTTTATTTTGATTTTCGATTTATGTCTTTTCCACTGCAATTATTTTTTATCGGTTTCTCTCTTTCTCTTTTTTTTCTTTTTGTCTATCTGTTTCCCTACTTTCATTTACTCCCTTCTCTCTCTCCCTCTTTGTCTTACTCCTCGTCTCTTCCTCTCTCCTCTCTCCTCTCTCTCTCTCTCTCTCTCTTCTCTCTCTCTCTCTCTCTCTCTTCTCTCTCTCTCTCTCTCTCTCTCTCTCTCTCTCTCTCCTCTCTCTCTCTCTCTCTCTCTCCCCTCTCTTCTTCCTCTCTTTCCCCCTTCCTCTCTCTCCTCTCTTTCTTCCCCTCTCTCTCTCTTTTTCCCTCTCTCTCTCTCTTTCCTCTCTCTCTCTCTCTTCTCTCTCTCTCTCTCTCTCTCTCTCTCTCTCTCTCTCTCTCTCTCTCTCTCTCTCTCTCTCTCTCTTCTCTCTCTCTCTCTCTCTCTCTCTCTCTCTCTCTCTCTCTCTCTCTCTCTCTCTCTCTCTCTCTCTCTCTCTCTCTCTCTCTCTCCCTCCCTCCCTCCCTCTCCCTCTCCCTCCCTTCCTCTCCATCTCTCTCTCTCTCTCTCTCTCTCTCTTCTCTCTCTCTCTCTTCTCTCTCTCTCTCTCTCTCTCTCTCTCTCTCTCTCTCTTCTCTCTCTCTCTCTCTCTCTCTCTCTCCTTTCCTTCAGACGCTGCCCCCCCCCTCTCACCTCCAGACCACATGGGGAGGATCGATACTGGGCGATATTCCTCTCACCTGCAATCCTCAGGTGCTCATCCGGGAACTGCGGCCTTTGATTACGTAGACTGTAGACTGTCTACAGGGTGATGGCAGCCCCCCCCCTTC